CTTCATTTGCTGTGAAGTGAGTCCCTTGATCTGAAGAAATGCTGTGTGAGATTCTGTGATGGTGGATAAGGCATTCTGTAAATCCATGGATAGTAGTTTTGGCAGAAGCTTGTGTGCAGGGAAGGCGAATCCATATCCAGAATAAGTATCTATTCCAGTAAGAACAAAACACTGTCCTTTCCATGTGGAAGTGGTCCAGTGTAATAAACCTGCCACCAGGTTGCTGGCTGATCACCCTGAGGAATGGTTTCATATCGCGGACTCAGTGTTGGTCTCTGCTGCTGGCAGATTGGGCACTCAGCAGTGGCGGTAGCCAAAATCAGCCTTGGTAAGTGGGAGTCCATGTTGCTGAGACCATGCATAACCTCCATCCCTTCCACCATTCCTTCCACCACGGCCACTTTGTTCATGAGCCCATTGAGCAATGACAGGAGTAGCTGGGGGAAAAGGATGGCTGGTTTCCATTGAATACGTCATTCTATCCACCTGATTGTTAAAGTCCTCCTCTGCTGAGGTCACCTTTTGGTGGGCATTCACATGAGACACAAATATCTTTATTCCTTTGGCCCATTCCACATACCTCTTCCCCATACGTCCTTGTCAGCAATTTTCCAATCATGGTACTTTCAAGTCCCAGACCATCTGGCCAAGCCATTAGCCACAGACCATGAATCCATATACAATCGCACATCTGGCCATTTCTTATTCCATGCAAAGTGAACAGCCATATGCACGGCTCGAAGTTCTGTCCATTGGGAGGGTTTCCCTTCTTGACTGTTCTTCAAGGAAGTCCCAGAAAGGGGCTTCAGTGCTGCTGTTGTCCACTTTCGAGTGGTGCCTGCATACCGCTCAGAATCACCTGTAAACCACACACGAGTTTTCTCTTCTTCAGTCAACTGATCATAAAGAACTCCCCATGAGGCCATAGGTGCAGAGAGGGAGAGGGAAGGTAATGTGACTGGAGTAGAGACTATAGGAATAGGCATTTGGGCCACTTCCTCATGTAACTTACTTGTGCCTTCAGGTCCTGCTCGAGCCCGATCTCTGATACACCACTTCCATTTAATGATGGAGTGCTGCTGTGCACATTCAACTTTATGACTCTGTGGGTCAGACAACACCCAGTTCATGATGGGCATGCCTCATGGTGACTTGGTGGCCCATGGTTAGGTGTTCAGTCTCTACTAAAGCCCAGTAACAAGCCAAAAGCTACTTCTCAAAAGGACAGTAGTTATCTGAGAGGATGGCAGGGCTTTTCTCCAAAATCCCGATGGTCTGCATTGTTATTCACCAATAGGGACCTGCCAAAGGCTCCAAACAGCATCTCAATCTACTACAGACACTTCAAGCACCATTGGATCAGCTGGATCACATAGCCCAAGTGTCAGAGCAGCCTGCACAGTAGCCTGAACCTGTTGCAGAGCCTTCTGTTGTTCTGGGCCCCACTCAAAACTAGCAGCTTTCCAAGACACTTGATAAATAGGCCACAGTAACACATCCAAATGAAGGCTGTCACCTCCAAAATCCAAAGAAGCCCACTAGATGTTGTGCCTCCTTTTTAGTTGTGGGGGAAGCCAGATAAATAACGTATCCTTCACTTTAGTAGGAATATCTCGACATACCCCACACCACTGGACCCCTAGAAGTTTCATTGAGGTAGAAAGTGCCTGAATTTTTGTTGGGTTAATTTCCCACCATCTAGCACACAGATGTCTCACCAATAAGCCTAGAGTCATCGACACTTCCTCCTTATTAGGTCCAATCAGCATAATGTCATCAATATAATGGACCAGTGTGATGTCTTGTGGAAGGGAAAGGCGATCAAGATCCATATGGACTAAATTATGACATAGTGCTGGGGAGTTGATATACCCCTGAGGAAGCATTGTGAAAGTATACTGTTGGCCTTGCCAGCTGAAGGCAAACTGCTTCTGATGGTCCTTGAAATTGGTACTGAGAAAAAGGCATTGGTCAGATTAACAGCTGCATACCAAGTACCAGGAGAGGTACTCATTTGCTCAAGCAATTAAACCACATCAAGAACAGCAGCTGTAACTGGAGTCACCACCTGATTAAGTTTACGATCATCTACTGTCATTCTCCAAGATCCATCTGTTTTTCGCACAGGCTAAATAGGCTAATTAAATGGGGATGTGGTGGGAATCACCACCCCTGCATCCTTCAAGTCCTTGATGGTGGCAGTAATCTCTGCAACCCCTCCAGGGATGCAGTATTGCTTTTGGTTTACTATTTTTTTTAGGTAGAGGCAGTTCTAATGGCTTCCACTTGGCTTTTCCTACCATAATAGCCCTTATTCCACAAGTCAGGGACCCAATGTGGGAATTCTGCCAATTTCTCAGTATATCTATTCCAATTATGCATTCTGGAACTGGGGAAATCACTACAGGATGGGTTCAGGGACCCAGTGGACCCCCTGTGAGACACACCTTAGCTAAGACTCCATCAATAACTTGACCTCCATATGCCCCCTCTCTGACCAGGGGCCACAATGATGCTTTGGGTCTCCTGGAATTAGTGTCAGTTCAGAGCCAGTGTCCAGTAATCCCCGAAAAGTCTGATTATTTCCTTTTCCCCAATGAACAGTCACTCTCGTAAAAGGCCTCAGATTCCTTTGGGGAAGGCTGAGAGAAAGAGTGACATTATAAATTTTTGGCAATGTAGTGGGGTCTTTCCTCAAAGGGACTCGGCCTCCCCTTCACTCAAGGGGTTGTGGGTCTGTAAACTGACTCAAGTCTGGGAATTGATTGAGAGGCCGTGATCCTGTATTCCGGCAATTCAGTCTACGCAGCTGTTCACATGACCTAGAATTCTTCTGTCTATACAGATCAAGTAAATATTTACTAGGTTTGCCATGTATTTCACTACTAGGAACACCATGCACAAGTAGCCAATGTCATAATTCCACATGAGTCAGAGTATTCTGATTACTTTTCTGGCTCTGCTGTCCATTATGGTAACCACACCCACCTTGCCTTCATTGATTAACTGCTGCCACTTGGCACCTACTACCATGGGGTCCAATCAGCCCCATTGTAGCTAAGCGTCTTAGTTCAATTAGGGCAGTTCCCACTGTCAAATCTGGCTTACATAAAATAGCAACCACAGCAGTCTTCAAGGATGCTGAAACTCCCGTCACAAATTTATTCCTCACGATACTATCAAAAGGCATTTCTTCTGGACTCTTCATTTCTGGCTCTAGGGGTCTAATCTGATAAATCCATTCTAACAGAGCAATTTACCTAAGCCTCTGGATACCTTCTCCTACATTATACCAAGGTAGGTCTGGTACTTCAGCTTGACTTAAGGTAGGCCACCACATAATCCATGCTTCAATAAGCCAACCAAATAAACTATTAGATCCTTTCCTAATTTCTCGAGCTGAAACACTGAATGAAGAATTCATCCTTAGTGGGCCTAAATCAATAAACTCAGACTGATCCAATGTTACATTCCTTGCACCATTATCCCACACCCTCAGTAGCCATTCCCATACATATTCTCCAGGGTCTGTCTGTACATGTAAACAAAATCAAGTAGGTCTTTTTGGGTGTAACGTACCACCTCCTCAGTCACACTTTGTATTTCACCTTTTGGGGCTCGCTTGGACTTAACTTTAGTTATAGGTCTAGCAGCAAGAATGGGTGGTTGGGGCAGTTCCTGAGAACATTCAGCAATGTCTTCCATGGTCTCTGCCTCAGGCAATGACCCAGCAGGAACAGCTGGATTAATCCCAAAAAAACTGAGGTGGAGGGGATAATGGTTTTATAGTAATCTCTTCAGGTAGGAGAGATTCAATTGAATTTACAGGCTCCATATCCTTATCTTCTTGACTCTCTGCCCATATGTCCCCATTCCAGGTTTCAGGATCCCATTTTTTCCCAATCCATGCCCTCACTTTAACTTAAGACACCATTCTGGGTTGGCAATTTAATTGGCATTGTAATTCAGCCACCCTTACAATAAGACTCTGGGTTTGGTTTCCAGCCATATCAGCTCTGTTACTAGAAGAAGTAAGGCTTTGTTTCAGAGCACAGCTGGAAACTTTGAGGTATTTTATGCAGTGCTTAAGCTGTGACTCAGCAGCCCTGAACTCATCTTGCTCTTTCACCACTTCATCTAGTGTAAGTAGGACCAACCAACCAGATTCCTTATACTCCTGATGCTGACAAATTGCAGAAAAGTATCAAATATGTAATCACTCAGAGCATCACTTCTCAAAAGTGCTTGATCTATTGGTGGTGCTATTTTGCATATTAATGTTGTCACTTCAGGCCACAGATTAGCAGAGCCCTCTTTACTAAGGGAGGCAGGGTCACCAGTGCCTTTGTGATTAATCAAATTGGAGAACCAATTTAGGAAGACCATCTTTATGATTTTGTCTCTCTAGAACCACTCCTGGTACCAAATGTGTTAGACGGGTTCTCTAAAGAAGCAAAACCAGTAAAGCTTATATATATATAGAGAGAGAGAGAAAGAGAAATTTATCTTAGGAAAATGGCTCACACACTTATAGAAGCTGGCAAGTCCAAAGTTCTTGGATCAACTGTCAAGCTGGAGGCTTTTCCCAACTCATGCAGCTGCAGGAGCTGACGAGCTCAAGGTTGGCAGACTGGCTGATGACTCCAACGAATGATGAATCCAAGATCTCCAGGCCAAATGGTAGATTGTTTGCTCACGGACAGTTGTAGGCAGCATAACAGAATCCTGATCTACAGAAGAGTATCTCTTTTCCCAGGGTGTCCATAAATATACTGGAAGCAGGCCACACCCCTAGGGAAACTCCCATTCAACAGATTGGCTACTGAAAACATACACATCTGATCCCATCATGAGAACAACCCACATCACAATTGTTTAAACCACACAGAATTGTGGTCCAGCCAAGTTGACACACAGCTCCAACTACCACAGATGTTGAGCCATTTTCCTGACGTGAGTAGGGGGAAAACCTGTCCCCTTACTTTTTCCAACAGACTTACCATCTTGAGTATCTGGCCTCAGGATTTGGGTCCGGAGCTCCTCCAGATTAATTTCGAGACACCTACAGATCTCCTCACAGCTATAGGGTTCTGGGTGAAGTGCATCCTCTATGATCAACAACATTTCCTCCAGACTGACCCCTAGTTTGGCTTGTACTTCCTCCAGCTGCAGTATTTCATCCCATGGCAGGCTTTTGTACTTAGCCAGAAGCTGCAAGTTCAAACCAAGATAATGGTCAGTTTTCATTTCAAACACTGAAATGTACCATTTTAATAAGCTAAATCAAACTTTACACTGTTTTGGGTTTTTGGTTTTTTTTTTCCATTCAACCTATCCAAATTTCCCACCATCATTTGGAAATGTACACTGGGTTCAGATGTTTGGAATTAAACATGCTTATGTGACACCCACAGACTACATAGTTAAGTATTTGCCCTTCTGAAAAAATAAAAACTTACCTCCACCGATTTTTTTTTCCTTGCTTGTCACCACTTTCCCTTAGGGCTATTTCTTTGAATAATTCCCTTCTTTTATCCCTAATTCAGTTCATCCCTACTACACCCCTCTCTATAAATCCACAGAAAACTACTCACTTCTCATGTGACCTGGGTCCAGAGGTGGACTCTGCATGCCCCATCTCATTTGAGCACTTCCTGTTTACTCCATGCCTCTTTGAAAATGGCTAATGAATTTAAGTATCTGGGCATTTGGAGTAAAGTCCCAGATTTTAAATGAAAACCTCATTTGTGACCTTATGAAAAACCATTTCATTAGGTAGCTGGTAGTAGTAGAGCTGTGAGTTTCCCCACCCTCAAGAAGAGTTTCATTACCAATTGCGTCCCACTCAATATGATGGAGAGAGTCAGTACAAACCAAACCTTTGAAATCAGGTGCACTCACAGGAACCCAAATCATGAATATGTTTCTCTCATTCTCCCCAAACCACTCACTGAGCCCTGTGGAACAGCTGACAACCAGAACTCACTGCTCTCACTCTGAGGTCTATAAAAGTTATTCCCTAGGTGTCAGGACAGCAGGTGCAGATAGTACAAAGAGCAAAAAGAGGCAAGCAGGAAGAGGGAAAATTAGTCTTCAAGGAAACATGCATCTGATTTACTCTTCTATTATGCTGATGATTTGATTTTCTTTTCAACAGGAAGCAGGGTTTACCAAAAGACCACTGTACTTTACTTAGGGACACTTACTTCTGAAGAATGTTAATAACAGAAGTTCTTAAACTCACTGTTGTTGTTGTTGTTATGTGCTGTCAAGTCGGACCCGATTCATAGTGACCCCTCCTTGGGTTTCCGAGGCAGCATCATTATGGAAGTAGATTGCCCCCCCCATCTTCCTTCCAAGGAGTGGCTGATGGGTTTGAATGGCCAGCCTTCTGGTTAGCAGTCAAGTGCCTTAGCCACTATGCTACCAGAGCTCTCCTTAAACTCATTAATACTCCTTTTAAAATCCTGCCTCATACATATGAAAGGAATTAATGATTTTAAGGCAGAACTGGGATAAAAGATAATAGGATTATTTTTCCTGTTGAATTATTTCACTGAATATGGTGCCTTTTTTAAAAAAAAGCAGGGTCATGAGCTAAGACCTATCTGGTAATCTTGTTTGCTTAGCATAAAAAATAATAATAATAATAATAAAAAGCTCATTGCCACTGAGTAAATTCCAACTCATAGTGATCCTATATGACAGAGTAGAACCACCTCATAGGTTTTTCAAAGCTGTAATCTTTAAAGAAGCATACTGTCACATCTTTCTCCTGCAGAGTGGCTAGTGGGTTCACCCTGAGCAATTAACCACTGCACTACCAGAACACACCTAGAGTTTATTATGAGTGCTGGGTTCACAGAATTGGAGTCAATCTATGGCTCTTTCTTTCAATTCATTCATGTTCCATATTCCAATTTACTTTGTGTGGAAAAAGAGCTAGAGGCAAGGATATCTTAGACTGAAGCTTTCTTTTGTGTGTGTGTGTGTGTGTGTGTAATTTTTATTTATTTATTTATTTTAATTTTTTTATTCTGATTTCGGTGAAGATTTGTAGAGAAAATTCACTTTCCATACAGCAGTTCACATATACTTTGTCTCATGTCATTGACCACAGTTTACCACAATGCAACAGCTC